ATCCTAACCACTTGATCTCTCTTTAAATTTAAATTTATATTGTCACGACCTTCCATACTCAATATTTAATTCGAAATTTTAAATTAAACGCAAACTGTATACTTTTTACAAAAGTAAAATAAAGACTGATAATATGAAAAACAGACAAAATAGCAATTACCTTTTTTTTTTCTTAAACAGTAAGCTGTATTTACAAATTTCTGTTTAATATTTATTCTAGCCTTAATATTCTTACGAGCCAGAAAGAAATAATTTAAATTAACCAAATGCTGTTAGAAATATTTGTAAGTTTATAAGTGATGCGATACTTTTTTGGCGGAGTATATGGCGGAGAGGAAGGCCACAAATGAGATGGTCAGATGACTTGAAGAAACACGAAGTCCCGAAGTGAATACAAACTGCCTACAATAGATAGACGTGAAAAAAGGAAGAGGAGGACTATGCCCAAAATTGGACAGCAAGGACTGTATAGATAGATAGATAGAACAAAAATATTCAGCAATAGAAATATCATCAAGTAGGGCTACCTGTTATTTAATTTAAACTTAAAACGTCTGTTCAATAAAGTTATAGAAGGAAATAGTTGCAACCTAAAAGTAAATAGTGTCTAAATATCTGTTATACCCTGTACTGTTAGAGCGGACTGTCATTACGCTAAAAAACGTTTTAAATAAATTGAAATATACTTGTAAAAGTTTGGAATTAAAATCAACTGTAAAAAGACCAATAGCATGAGTATACGAAGAAAACACAACGTTCCATTTCCTAGGTCAGCACAGTACAACCTATTGGAAAAATGTTACGAATATAATTATCCAGGATTAACTGTAAATTAGATCCTTAAAAACATATCAAGTCTAGAATTGCTTACGCCTGGAATAACTTCATAAACTACGTGGATTGCTCTACATTACCCGTCTCGAATAACACCCAAGATTTATGCAATCAAAAATTTATGTATGTCTTTTTAAAAACTAAGCTGCACAGCAAGCCTATAGTTAACATAAAATAGTTAAATCAAAAAGTTGCAAGTATATGATTGAAAATAAGCTACAGCAAAACAAAAAATATATCGTAAGAAACTACTAAAGTTTCTCTAAGAAGCTAAAAACAACTTTATTCGGGGTAAACTAATATTCTTCTTATAGTGCCGTACGCCTATAGGGCGTTGACAAAATATCTTAAGGTCAGACGCAGATGTCTATCTTTCGCGGCATGACAGAGCTTGCCAGTGTTATTTATGCCTGTTCAGTTCTTTATATTCCGTATCCGCGACATTTTTTGCAACCTATTCCTCTCTTGACCTCAATATTTCCTTGGATTGGATAATTAGTTACCGGACTGCATACCTTTTCTCTTCCAGGATATGTCCCAGGTGTCCAATTTTTCGTACCATGATTAACTCAGCAATACTATTTTAGTACTTGACCTTCTGAAGACTTCCTTAACGTTTTTGTATTCTTCATGTACCATGTCCTTTCAGAACGTTGGTTACCATCAAAGCTATCTTAATTTTATTCACTGGTAGCCTAAATAGCATGCTTGTATCAATACCTTGCCAATTTCGCGAGTTCTTTAACCATGAAGTCTTTCTTCGTCCTGGACTGCTTTTGCCTGTTATTTTTCTTTTATAATATTTTGTAACAACCTATATTTGGGTCCACTCATTACATGTCCGAAATACTTCAGTACTCTTTCTCTGCTTGAGGCTTTTTATTATATAAGTAGTCTTGCTATGACGTTCTAGTATTGTGAAGTTTCGCATTTTTTCTATAGAACTATATTCTATAGACAGATAATAGAACAGGTAATTTCCGTAAAATTATCATCATCAATCAGCCAATCGCGTCCACTGCTGGACATAGGCCTCCCTCAGTTCTTTCCAGTGGTTTCTAGACTGGGCCGCTTGTAGCCAGTTTTCCGCTACATGTTTAATATCATCGGTCCATCTAGTCGGTGGTCGTCCTCGGCTTCTTTTATAATTTCTGGGCCTCCATTCCATAATACGTCTTGTCCACCGTCCATCTTGTGTTCTGGCTAAGTGCCCTGCCCAGTTCCACTTAAGCGTCGTGATTCTTTCGATGACGTCTTGAACTCCTGATCTTCGCCTGATTTGTTGGTTTGTTATGTGGTCTCGAAGTCTCACGTTCAGCATTGCACGTTCCATGGCTCGTTGTGTAACTCTAAGTTTATTCGCAGATTTTTGCGTGAGTGTTAAAGTCTCTGCTCCATAAGTTTGTACAGGTAAAACACATTGGTTATAAACCTTTCGCTTGAGACACATGGGAATTGAACTTTTTAGAATATGGCTTAATTTGCCAAATGCTGCCCATGTTAGACCTATTCGCCTCTGTATTTCATGTGTTTGATTGTCTCTGCTTATTTTGATTTCGTGTCCCAGATATTTGTAAGTGTCTGTTTGTTGTATGGTATTATTGTCAATAGTTATATTTCCACTCATTACAAGATTTGTTATAATTTTAGTTTTCTCAAAGTTTATCTTTAATTCTGCTCTTTCAGACAGACTTTTAAGCGAATGCATCATAGAAACTGTATCATGTAAGTTATCTGCGATTAATACAACATCATCTGCAAACCTTAGGTGATTTAATCTTTCTCCATCTATATTGATGCCCATATCTTGCCATTGAGTACCCTTAAATATTGACTCTAGAGCTGCCGTGAACAATTTTGGTGAAATATTGTTCCCTTGTCTAACTCCTCGACATAAGCTGAATTTTTCTGTGTCTTCATGCAGTCGTATACTTGATGTAGCGTTCTGATAGATGTTTTTGATTAGTGTCGTGTACCTGTAATCTATTCGGCTTTCATTTAGGGCTTCCAGTATTGTTTCAAACTCTACAGAATCAAAAGCCTTCTCGTAATCGACAAATGCAAGAACCAGTGGTATGTTGTACTCCGTGAACAATTTTGGTGAAATATTGTTCCCTTGTCTAACTCCTCGACATAAGCTGAATTTTTCTGTGTCTTCATGCAGTCGTATACTTGATGTAGCGTTCTGATAGATGTTTTTGATTAGTGTCGTGTACCTGTAATCTATTCGGCTTTCATTTAGGGCTTCCAGTATTGTTTCAAACTCTACAGAATCAAAAGCCTTCTCGTAATCGACAAATGCAAGAACCAGTGGTATGTTGTACTCGATGCACTTTTCTCGTAAAATATTTGGGAGCAAATATCTACAACCAGTGTAACCCAAAAAACAAAGAAGAAAAACTATCAAAAATCGAACAAGCGAAGAAAACACTCCTTAAAAGAAAAATATTTTTTAAAAGATCAGACCTTAGTCTAAATCTTTGAATTCGAATGAACAGATGTTGTATTTTCTGTTTGAATAGTATATATTTGTGTCTATTTTGAGTCGACTTTGAGATGTATATATACAGACGGATACGGAGAATTTCATGGGTACAAAAAGTTACCAACGCGCAACGGTGGGATACTTTTGGCGCAGAGATAAAAATAAAATATTTTGGTCATGTGTTGAGAGGTCAAAGATATGAATTACTCCAAATCATATTGAAAGGTAAAGGGCAGGGCAAAAGATCAGTCGGAAGACGCCAAAATTCAGCCCTCAGATTCGACCTGAGAGCAACTGCTCTTTTTTTGCTTAGAAGTACATGCTATAAGGTTGAATTAAAATGGCATCATTGACATGACATTTCGAAAATTAAGTGCGTAAATATTTAATTTCGACAAGTTGTATTAAGAGCATATATCATGAAATTTCGTTCTTAATTATTAGAAAGTAACGAATTTTTATAAGAATATTAAGCGATATATGATTAAATTTCGTTGCTATTTCAATTATTAGGAAGTTACACATTTTCTGAAAATGTTAAGAGTACAGAAAGTGCCATTTTTAAAGAGTAACATTATATACGAACCGAAAAGCTTTTTCTGGTTTGATAGATTGCGGTCCGAAGTCATTTATTAATTTTAAAGGTTGAAGTAGTAGCTGAATAATAGTTTATTTTAATTTATAGACCTTAATCTATTTAGCCATTGTATTATTGATGTTAGTATGTGTCCGTTTTTTTAAGTGTAATATTTATTTTTATGAGTTTTATTGACGATTTAATATTTTTTTCATTATGTCATTTTTATTAGTTTTACTTATGTAAAAATTTTATATATATATATATATATATATATATATATATATATATATATATATCATAATGAATTTGAGTCCTTTATAAATTGTGTGTTAAGATTTATCGGCGCTCATCTTTTGCACTTTAGCTGTACTTAGTATTTCTTGGCTTTTTATTCTCAATCTCAATCTATTATCTATTTTATCTGTATCCTTAACCATCCCAGTGACGCTGCCGAGAATTAGCAACGAGGCATTCATATTAATCTTTTGTACGTTAGGCTTATTACCACCTGAGCTTTTTCTTTTTGACCACAATGAGCTGATTTATAGTTACAAGCTTACTAGACTTATGCGGGAACAGCTAAAACAGCACAGTGCGCCATGAAACGAACAATTATGGGAGTTTCATTGTGATGAAGAATTTGAAATGAAGAGATAAGGAAGGCCCCGAAAAAGATGAGTAGATAATATCCAAACTACTGCAGAAAAGCTGCCTTCAAACATAGTGAAATTTGTTCTAAAAAGTTTCTTTTAGCATTTTGTGATAACTTGATAAAAAAAACTCCATCCAAAGAAAATTTGTTTAAATGAAACCAACAGTATAATTTATCAATTTCCATCAGATAAATTATTACCTCAATTGGTTATTCTGTAACAATATCAAGTATTCTATCACACCACAACACCGAAAAATTCATATATTCCATCTAATTCCATCCGCACAATTCCATCTATTTCTACTTCATCATTTACACAACATCGATCGTTACAGTAAATCTAGTATCAATTACCGTACATTCCTGCTGTGCTAAAACAGCAAAATGGGAGAATTGCGGACACAGCGTGTAATACAATAAAGTCTCTTAAATATTGTAATACTTACTCTAGACACTTAGATATGAAATCGATGAACATAGGATCGTTACACCGCAAAACCATTGCCAAGTTTTTCGAGCCCGGTTTCCGTTTCCTCCCTTTGGAGTTGGTTATACAACGGGGGTTTCCACGTGAATCTGGAAAGTTAAATAAAACATTATTATTTTTTTTTGTTTTAAGTCAATTTGTAGGTAATTTTTCTATTTAATTTAATTCTCCACCTTAATAACGCAAGAATATTTGCACAAAGATAATAAGTAATAATGAATAACCAAAAAAATCAAATTTTGCACACCTTGCCGAGATTGTTTAAAACTTTCGAAGTCTAATGTATATTTGCAAAGATTCAATTTTTCCCATTAAATTTTATAGATAATTATACATTATAACATAGATTCGCCAATGATGACGTCTAATTTAACTAGTTTAAATGTAAATGACGTACTGTACAAAATATTAATTTGAATGACCTTTTCATGGCTTAAAAATAGTGCTTACCAAAAAATAGTCTTCTTCTGGTTGCTATATTAATGAGTTCATCGGGAGGTGGTCCCAAAACTTCCATTAGGCAAGCGAGCTGTTCCACTTCATTTTCTCCAGGAAATAGAGGATAACCTGTGTACAGCTCTGCCAAAATACAGCCTGGAAAAGTAGGTTATTGTTAAATCATTAAAAAATTTAAGGTTTTATGGATTTAATTAAGGAGGTAGTTAACGCCAAGGAGGAAGTTTTCCTAGCAAAATAATTGGTGTTAATTTTAATGGACAAGTTAAAGAAAAAAAGGGAAAAAAAAACATTTGGTTACCTAAGAAAAAGCATAGATCTTGGAGATATTTGTCTTTACCCTTTATAGTTGTTGACCAGTCTACTATAATACGAAATATTTCCTATCAATTATGGCTAAAAGTTTTACGGTAGGGCAAAAACGATGAGTCTGATAAATTTAAATACGAAATATTTTTCCATAGGAACTAAATTATTAATTTTCTTCTTCTTGTGCCTATCCGTTACGAATGTTGGCGATCATCATGGCAATCTTTATCTTATCTGCATCAGCGCGGAAAAGTTGCACAGATGTTGTATTGAACCAGATTCTGAGGTTCTTGAACCAAGATGTTCTATTTCTTTCTGGACCTCGTTTTCCAAATATTTTTTCTTGCAGGATGGCTTAAAGGAGAGCATATCTGGATTCATTTCGCATAATATGTCCGAAGAATTGTAACTTTCGAGATTTGGTTTGATGGTGGTCAGTACCTCTCGGTTCTTATTTATTCTTCTGAGTACCTCCTTATTTGTAAGGTCCACGGGATCTTCTCCGATATATTCTCCGATATAGCCACATCCCAAATGCTTCCAGTTTTCTGCATATATCTTCGTTCAAGGTCCACGATTCAACATCATAAAAAAGAATAGAGAAGAAGCATCGCAGCATTCTTTCTTTTGTATCAAGAGAGAGGTTGTAACTCTTGAAGAAGGCCTCCATCCGATTAAAGGTAGATCTAGCTTTTCCGATGCGTGCTCTAATCTTTTGGTTGTTGGTCCATTCTTCATTTATTATGGTGTCGAGTTAGTTGTAGTGCGTCACTCTTTCGGCAGGGGATGGGTTGACGTAGATGTGACCTTCTGTTATCATTTTCTTGCTAATTATCATAAGCTTTGTCTTCTTAACGTTTATATTAAATACATATTGTTAACTATAATACGTGATTTTGTTCAGAGAAAGAACTTGTAGGTCTTTTAAGTTGTCCACAAATACTATGGTTCCATCTGCATGTCTCATGTTGTTTAACCGGTAACCATTTAGTAGAACACCTTTTTCAGTTTCGTGCAAATCTTTGATAAAATTTTTTGCAGAGTACAGATTAAAGAGACAAAATACAGCCTTGCCCCACTTTATGCATGATTTTCACATAGTCATTATGTTCACCTTTAACTCTGAGATTTGCTGTCTGATTCCAGTAAAGTTTTCTAATAATTTTTAGATCTTAGTTGTTAATTCCTATTAAATCGGTATAAGACAAATATTTTTTTCCTTATAGATCATTAAGTAAAAAGCATTGACAGCGAAATCGTGTCACATTATCACGAATTCTATGAAAAACTATATAATGGTATTTTTAGTATTCAGTTTGTTTTATTTATATAAAAATTATAATTAATTATTTACGTTAATAAAAAACATTCTTACCCAAACTCCACATATCAATGGCAGTACCGTAAGTTAGTCCCAGTATAACTTCCGGAGATCTATAGAACCTCGACTGAATGTAAGTGTACACCCTCTGGTTGGAATAACAGGAACTTCCGAAGTCTATAACTTTGATCGAACTGCTGCCTCGTTGTTTCAACAAAACGTTTTCCTGAAACACAATACACACATTTCAGGTTTTAAGGACAACCGACAGTGGAAATGACGTTAATCCGGCGAAGGAAAAACTTAAATAGAGCGTGAAATGTATTTGCTGCATTCAGGCAAAATTCTATTATGTGCAATAAAAAAGCTGTACGGTTTCTATTCAAATATTATAATAACTTTTATTTATATTTGTAACACGGCATGGCTTTCATGCTATTTTCCTTTTTAATTATTATATATTTTTTTGGAAATTAACCACGAATGAAATTCGAAACATTTTATTTGATATATGACTTTAAACGTTTAAATCGTTTTCAACAGATATTTTTTATCTTTTGTTACTTAGAAATAAATACACAAAATCCCATCGAAATCGAGGAACAAACTCAAGATACTATCCCGATACAGTAAATATTTGTCTAAAAGTTATTTAGTAAACCGAGAGTTTTTACTATCCGTAGATGAATCTTTGTTATTATATTTGTTTATTGACCTATGTTTGTATATATATATATATATATATATATATATATATATATATATATATATATATATATAAATGATCTATCAAATTCTTTTGTATTTATTATAATGTCAAAATGCAATAAATCTAAAATAAAATGTTGACTTTATGTTTGTCACCAAAACCTTCCAAATAAGATATTCAACTCCCAAATGCAACCACCTTAATTCCCTATATTCAATTTCCAAATTCAATATTCAAGATAAGATTCAACTAGATACAATTAATAGTTTTATGCTGATATGTCTATAGACTAGTACATAAAAGAAAGAAGTATGATTAATCACATATTTTTGAATAATAGGAGAAAATAGGTTAATTCAAAGGTGACCGTGTAACGTATCAAAATTCCGATGCACTACGTTTTGTCAAAATTTTCATTATTTTATTAAACTTTGGAAAATCCTGCCATACATCATTTTAGTTTCTGTAAAAGTTCCCAAGCAAATACCGAGTATACTTCCTAATAAAACAAACGTTAAATATGTTTAGCTATCTTCGACGAACCTTTCAAAAGTTATCACTTTCCACTAGTTACTATCAACGTAAATCAATTATTTTGTTTTGTGGTTTATGGGTTGGTGGTTGGTGGATATATGGTATAGAATCGGCATGAGTACACTTGCGTGTATAATACTATTTTCTTGGTTTCTTCACTGACTGTTCTTTTGGACTGGAGTGCTACGTAGAAGCATCTATTCTGGAAAAAGCATTTTACCAACCTTGTGAGTCAAAAACTATTAGTAGTAATTTCGTAGTTTTACCAATAGCCGTTGATGGTTTACTGTGCCATAGGCGGTAGTTAGGTCTATGAATGCTACTCCTATTGTTTCTTTCCGATTAAAATCATTTTCAATATGTTGGGTGAGCTTAAGGGTTTGGCTGTAGCAGAAGTTTCCTGGTCTAAACCTTGCTTGTTCTTCAATAATTTAAAGCTAAACAAATTCAGCGAGCCGGTTTAGTATCCTTCTTTTGAACGCCTTAAAAAGGTGACGTAATAAGAGACAGGTCTAAAACTCGTTGTATAAACAAAGAAATCTAACTTTTTATCAACTTATTTAAACCCCCCGAAAAACTACTAATTAATTAAAAAAAAACCTTTTTTTAGACCAGTCAGATCATGTTGCGACAATATATTCAAGAAAAAAAAATGGAAAATAAAAGGTATTTCTAAAGTGTGTAAAACATTTATAATTCCTAGCTATGCACTTTCAGCTTACAAAGCCATCCTCAGAGATATGGTCAAGTTGATTATTAACGTAATTTATGTTGATTGTTGTTGATTATCAACATGTTATACGATAAAACTTCTATTTGTGAGAATTATTAAAAACCGGTTAACCTACAAAATGGATAATTACTAACTGGTTGAACAGACTGGCTTCCGCAAAGGATATAGTACATCAGATCATCTGCTGACAATGAGAACATTGATAGAGAAGGCAAATGAATACCAACTACTCGTATTTCTTGCCTTCGTCGACTATGAAAAGGCGTTTGATAGTATCGAGATGTGGGCCATAGAACAAGCTATTAATAATTGTACAATAGACTCGAGATATAGGCAACTAATACATAATATATATGAAAATACAACTATGATAGTACAACTAGACGAAAATATAAATCCCATCCCCATTAAGATTAAGAGAGGAGTGAGACAAGGAGACGTAATATCGCCAAAGCTTTTCAACCTAGCCCTAGAAGACGTCTTCAAAACTACAAATTGGTCAACCTATGGCATTAACGTTAATGGCAACAAGTTAAACCACCTCAGATTCGCTGACGACATAGTGATTATAGCGAGCACATTCGAGAAACTGCAAATTATGTTGAGGGAACTAGCAGCTAGCTCCCAATACGTCGGCCTAAAAATGAATATGAAAAAAAAAACAAAAATAATGACAAACACAGAAGACCCCAGACATATAACTATAAACGGTAGTGAGATAGAACAAATCCAGGAATATATCTACATAGGCCAAATCCTGAGACTTGAAAAAGAGAACCAAAGTGCGGAACATACTAAAACAGCAAGACTAGCATGGGCAGGATTTGGAAAACTTAGTTGGATACTTAAGAACCGCAAAATACCCCAATACTTGAGGAGCAAAGTTCAACTAATGCATCCTTCCTATCATGACATATGGATGTCAAACCTGGACCCTAACCAAGGCAAATATGAATAAACTAGCCACAACAGAAAGAACAACGGAAAGAGCAATGTTAGGTATACGACTGTCAGATAAAAAGAGGAACGACTGGGTAAGATCCAGACCAAAGGTCGAGGACATAACAATAAAAATTGCAAAACTTAAATGGAGCTTCGCGGGCCACACTGCTAGAAAGAAAGACCAACGTTGGAATACTACAATACAACATTGGAGACCTTACGAAAGTAAACGACCAAGAGGACGACCGCAGATGAGATGGATTGATGACATTAGAAGAATAGCAGGAACAAATTGGAAATATGTTGCTCAGGATAGAGACCGATGGAAGGAGTTGGGAGAGGCCTATGTCCAAACATGGACGACAGAAGGCTAAGAAGAAGGAGAATACGATAAAACTTATGTTAGGTTCAGAAAAATGACATTTATACGTTAAATGGGGAGGGGGGACTGATTACCCTCATTGACGCGAAGGTGAAGCAGGGAGACGTTCTTCAAGCTATCTTGTTCAAGCTAGTTCTTACAGCAGCCAACCGAAAAGACAATGTAATCGGAAATATAAACACCAAGTTGACAACAATCACTGCGTTGCACACGATATAGCTATTAATAGTAGAAATAAGCAACGCCTACAGGAAATGTTTTGATGTACAAGAAGAGGACTAAAAGTAAACAAAAAAGTATGCATAGAAGAAAACAACTAGAAAAAGATACAGGTCTATAAAACAATCATACGACCCGTTGTGATGTATGGAAGCGAAACGTGGACGATGACAAAGGCAAATGAAGAGAGACTACGTGTTTGGGAAAGAAAAATCCTAAGGAAGATCTTTGGTCCGGTGCTTGATGAAGCATCAGGACAATATAGGATAAGAACTAATAAAGAGCTTGAAGAACTTTACCCAGACACCAACATCATAAAAGAAATAAAGTCCAGAAGACTCCAATGGGCAGGACACCTCAGAAGACATTCTGATGAACGAACAGTAAGACTGGTGTGGGAGGAAGTCCCAACTGGAAGGAGACCACGCGGACGCCCTCGTCTTCGGTGGCGAGATAATATAGCAGGAGACCTAAGCACTATGGGCGTGGAGAATTGGATGGAGGTTGCTCAAGATAGAAAACAGTGGAGGCATGTTGTCGAGTCGGCTAAAACCCACAAAGGGTTGTAACGCCACGGAGTAAGTAAGTAAGTAAGAAGAAAACAACTACGTTTTTGACGTGTGAACGTCTTTCTATTTTTGGACACAGAAATCGATTAAACAAATTCCATATGTAACAAAATTAGAACGTATTTCAAGCGAAAGTAAGTGCATACTATACTACCTCACCCACGGTTATAAGGCCAAAATAAGAAGAAAAAAGATAGTCCTACCACTGCACTGTCTCCCGGGACTGTAACTTCGCAGACTGTATAATTCTAAATTAAAACAAATCAAAACGTAAGGTGTGTTTTACTGCAAACGAAGCCTACTAGCTAAAACCATTAACTCAACCGTGTAAACTTCACTCCTCTTTTTTGTTCTATTGCGTAATTTCTCTTTTATAATAAAAGTAAAACAATAAATAAAGGCATTACAGTAATTTTTTCATTAGTTGATCGTAATCAGCTCAAAAAAGCCTTTTAAGTTCATTAATTTCAACACACCTTTGCAATTGTTACCTAATTTCACTTACTCGATGCTTTTATTATTTTTTCGGTTAGATGAGATTTTTCTTTACAGACGTTTCAAGACGGTTGGGTGCGCACGATCTAGATTACGGATGCTATGTGACTATTATTTATTTTATTTACTCATTTGCTTTTACTTTCTGTTATTAAATTACATTTTACTTTCATTTGATATTCATATATACCGTATGACAGTGAATTTTCAACATATGCCAAATATAAAAATATTTTCCTAGCTTGTTCTCACAGTACCGTTTCGAATGTTAGCGATCATTGTTGACGGCTGAAATAGACCCACCATCTGCCTTTTTAACTACATACGCAGATTTTTAAGATTTTTTTAATTCTGTGTCTTCCAGGACTACGTCTACCATCTATCTTGCCTTGTAATATTAATTGAAACAGATTATATTTTTGTACATAATGTCATTACTAATGAAATCGTAGGCTTCCACGGCCAGAATCAGAATTATAGTTTATTCGTCTTCCGGGTTTGGACCGTGTCATTTGTGAGTGACCCAAAAGTGGGTTCATCTCGACGTTTCGCTACAATTGTATGTAGCTTCTTCAGGAGAACAAAGAAAAAGAAATCAAAAGACAGGAAGATGGGTAGTTAGCAACGGTAACTCAGTTACTCA